AATCCGTTGAACAGATTTCGGGCTCATCTCACCAACATTGGCCACTTCTGCAGTCGTTAATCTGGGATCCATTTTGATGCTCCTCTTGACAGCCCTTTTTGTCCTCTCTGATGGACCAGGACGACCCTGACGCTGCTCAGTTGTTTCCTTGCCATGTTTTCTGAACTACACGATGATTCTATTGACTGTTGAAAGCGGGATTCCCAAATTCTGCGAAATTTGCGGCTGACTTATTCCACTATCTGCTTGACTAACTATCCTTCCTCCAACAAAATCTGACAATTTGAGAGAACTTTGAGTTCTAGGCATGTTGTAGTGTGTGGACCATTTTCATTTATATAGTGCTCTGTGAACACAAATTAGTTAGCATAAATCAGTTAAATGACGAAAAATTAGGTGTCTATTTACTTGTTACCACTCAGCGTACATCCATACAGAGATAAACTATAGTTAAAGTATTTGAAGCTGTATGAGCCTTTGCATAAAGCTACTTGGTATCTAGATACAGAGCTATAAAAAGTTTTTCAATTTCACGTTGCCTACAGCTATCCAAGTAAACAATATGTTTATTATTGCATTGTAATTCTCAAAGACTTATTAATTACACTAAAAACTTTGTTAGTAGTGTAACTAGTGGAAGTGTTACTACACATTACATGGTTACTGTTGATTCTTTTACATAATGTTTATGTCTGCTACTAAAAAGTGAATAATGTCTTTATCAGTGAATAAACATATTCTTTAGAGATAAACTAGAAGAATTTGACAAGATCTGGATTCATAATATACACACAAAGGCTTCAACCTTAACTTTGAAGGTACTAGCAAATGATTGTTATGTATCTTCATATTCATGACTGTTACCAGCAACATAATTATAATTTTATATTTCATGCATTAAATGTTAATAAATATGTATATACAGGGTTCTAGTTAACCCTAATTCCAGGTTCCCAAACACAAGATAACTTGTCAGGATGCATGAGGTTTGACCACCTCCCTCCTGGGTACCAAATATGCATCACAAAATGCCCCATATGCAAAGCAAGTACAAGCACTTTTTTGCTGTGAACTTTGTACCATAACAAACTAAAGAGCATACAGTTTGCACACAGCTGTACACAATCAACTTCTACCAAGTTTCATCAATGACAATAAATTGCACGAAAATAAAGTCATATGAAAGTACCACATGATTAATTAACCCTTTCACCTCAGGTAGGTCAAATTGTGCATGTCACAACCTTTCACAGAGGTGCATTCATAATTTAATTAAACTACATTAATATCAATCTATATGAATAAACTCAGCATCAGAACGTAGATAATAAACCAAAGTTTAGTATTATCTAAGTTTTAATTTTAGAAGAAAATATTTTTAAAATATTCTCAATCATCCTTAGTATGAGAACTGTGACATTTGTTATCTATATCTTCCCCTCTTCTCTAATTTTTTACTACCCCTCCGAGAAGTACAAAATTAAATGACGTCTTATATTACGTTGTTGACTGTACAGAGAATTGTCTATTGTCCTTCCAGTTCAAATGTTATATTTATTCCCATGGGAAATACATCGAGGAGCTTAGCTGAATTTTTAATGTCTTTTGTCACACAGCCAGAAAAATTGTTATAGTTACAGAACATTGTTTCCTTCCTTTTCGTATGTTATTATTCTGTGTTCTTTTGTGGATTATTTAATGGAATAGAAATTATTTAATGCCATAGTACAATTAGTATAAAAAAAGTAGGGTTAAGTTTCATCAACAGTCAAGAGCAAAAAAAAAACCCAGATAAGTACTTTATTTCTTGTTTTTGATGTGTATTCTTTATTTTTTATTATAAAACAAACTATAATGTAAAATTTAAAACGTTTTAGATTAGATAAAGTAAACTAACTAATAATATTAATAATAATATTTTTTATGAGGTATGCTCACGAGTAGTCCCTGCATTATGTAATTTGATACTGTAAGATGATTTGCAAGTTTGCCACATGATTTGCAATTTATATGGCACGAATAGTAGTTAGACATGGTTCAAAGGGAAATAAAACAATACAACTTAATTATAAATAGATGTATACTGTTACAAGTTTTAAGCTACTTAGGATAAACAAGTGTGTTTTCTATTACAATTTGCTGTCATTCCAGAAAGAAAATAGGGGAAATTTATAATTATTTCTTAATTTTTATGGTGGTTATAAGGCTGAGTAAATCAACTGACCTCATATAAAGTTAGAGTAAAAAAAATAACAGTTTTGAGTTTATTAAATTCTACCTATGGGACCCTTGAAAATTAGTTCCAATAGAATATCTTGCCTCCTCTCACAAGATAGCACTGCCCTCTATTGGCGCAAAGTTTCAACGCATGCGGCCATCTTTCTAACTCCTGCTTCTACATATTCACATGTAAATGATCATGCAGCAGCTCTCCACCAATAGAAGCATGACACCACTCCTATTGTAACTAGTGCCCTCTTCACATCTTCAAAGTTTTACTAGCAGAACTGCAACACTAACTAGCAAATTTCATAATTTGTTAGCATTAGTTTCAATCCCTGACATAGAAACTATTGCTATTTTTTACGTACGTGTCTGTTATGATCTTATACTTGAAAATAAACTACCACAAAAAGCTAATTGTTTAAAAGACCTCATTTTGTAGCAGATGAAGTTGGTCTCTCCTCTCCTATCTTCAATTTTTTATAGCACAATTTCTGAAATCTAGAAAGCTACAACCTGATTGATCCTGCAAACAGTATTTTATTAATTCAGTATAATTGAACTTAAAAGAGATCAGGATCATGTTTAGCATGTCTGATATAATTATTAATTTCATTTATGAGTTATTTTCACACTGAGAAGAGTGTGAGTAGTTGTATTAACAAATGTTAAAAATCTTGGAGGAATTTATGAGTATTATATTAAGGTATTATTATTATATTCTTAAGAAAGTTAAATTCTAAGTTATATATTCTTAGGTTCACTAGTTTCTTACAGTTAAGGATACTACCTGTTCTAAGTAGAAGCTCACCAGAACATCTATTACATAATTAAACTGAATCCTGCCCTGATGGAATTGAAAAAAGAGGTTAGACTCAGGTTGCACAGCAAAACTAAAGCAGTTTATTTACTCATCATATGACACAGAAAAACAACTCTGTCAATGGGCATGTGCACACAGGCAAATGATGATCACACTTCTCTTTGAGTGAAAATCTGGATTAAAGCCTGAATACTTTATCAATGAATTTGAACAAAAGTCCTACAAAATTGTGCCAGTGAATTATTATGTTCTGAAGGCTGCTTTAAGTTGCTGTAATAATAGGTTGTATAAATTAGTCATTACTAGCTGGAAGAAACTTTACAAATGTGACTGTAGCTGTCATTGTTTTATTATCTGAATAGATAAAGATGTAGGAAGCTTTATGTTAAATAATTGACTGAGTTTTTTTGTTTTTTTCCAGTGCTCCAGTGTTTACTTTTGACTTGCATACAGAAGTAGGGGACATAGCATGGGCTCCTTACTCCTCTACAGTGTTTGCTGCTGTTACAGCTGATGGAAAGGTCAAACTTATTTATTTAGTATTCTTAAGCTTTAACATAAAGGCCAAATATTACATTATATTTTGGATGTTATTACAATGAAGTGTAAGATATGAATGCTGAAAACATTATAGAATAAACCTTCTCTCTCTCTGATGAAGGAACTTCAGCTGATAGCTTTTTATACATTACAGTGTGTATTTTAAAACTGGAACCGAAGCAGAAATGACAGTAATGTAGTTCCCCAGCCAAAATGTGATAAAAGAGTAAATATCCATAATTTATTTGTTAACTTTAACCATCAGATTGCTGACTTGTTTATATTATGTTCACATATTGCATCATATTGAGCAATTTTATATTCTTGCTGTCAAAACACAGTAGATTGGATGAACTTGCTTATTTTTTATGTAGAATTATCAGGAAACCTGTCATGACATTGTTATGACAACAGAAGTCCGTGACGTGCATGAGTTTCTCGATTGATCAGGGAAGTCCGTGTGCATTCAAGATGCCCTCTTCATTAGTATATAAGCCTGGCATAGAAAGCCAGTGGAGATATAGATTGTGAATCGCTGTGATTTATAGCATGTATTATAAAAGTTAGTAAGTTTAAAGTAACAAGAAATGTACTGATTGTGGAACTACTGTGTACTAAAAGTTTGTATCGAGGAAGAATAAAATGAATTAATCAAGAAAGTACTTGTATCGCTGAAGATCCTCAGAAAGAATTTCTACCGAAAACAAACAAACCAGCAGATACTTGACAAATTGATGTCAGAGAACGAGACAAAAAAAGATGGAAACGAGAAGTGGCAAATCAAACTACGACTTAGCAGATTTGATGGCAGCAATACAAGAATAGGAAAAGAAACAAGAAGAACAAGAAAATAAACAAGAAAAGAGACAACAGCAGTGGTTGGAGGAGAAAGAAAAGAAACAAGAAAAGAGACTACAGCAGTGGTTGGAGGAGAAAGAAAAGAAACAAGTAGACCGTGTAAAGAAACAAGAAGAGAGATTACAGCAGTTGTTGGAGGAAAAAGAATAGAAACAAGAAAAACGAGAAAAGAAACAAGAAGAGAGGCTACAGCAGTGGTTGGAGGAGAAAGAAAAGAAACAAGAAGAGAGGCAACAGCAGTGGTTGGAGGAGAAAGAAAAGAAACAAGAAGAGAGGCTACACCAGTGGTTGGAGGAAAAAGAAAAAAAACAAGAAGAGAGGCTACAGCAGTGGTTGGAGGAGAAAGAAAAGAAACAAGAAGAAAGGCTACAGCAGTGGTTGGAGGAGAAAGAAAAGAAACAAGAAGAGAGACTACAGCAGTGACAAGAAAACTAGCACCATGTGGCAACAGGAACAAAAAAAGGAAACAGGAAGAAAGTCTCCAACAACTACAGGAAAGTCAGCAACAGTGGCAAGAAGAACAAGGAGAGGGAGTACAATATCAGCATGAAGTACAAATGGAAAAGGTTAGTTAATTTCAAAGTCAATTAAATACATTAAAGGACCTAATCAGCCCCAGACAACAGGAAGCCCCTTCCAGACCCCACAGCTAAACCCTAATGCTGACATCTTCCAAAAGCTACTGGGTTATTCTTTTTACTGAATCAGAAGTAATCAGCTTAGGCATTGTATACCTTGAGAGCGACAGTGTTATGATCCAAGAAGTCACAGAAGACTTCTGAAATGACATCCATGATGATCTTGGTGATGGTGACTACTAAGTCTTCCAGGGCTTGGTGAGATTCCACTAGGAGCATTGGTAGGGGATGGACAGTCTCAGTGTAAGTCTTATGCTGGGTGGCTGGGCTTCTGGCTGGATAGCATAGGCTCAACAGTGAATGGGTTGCTGAAATGAAGATGTTTTCTGGGGTTGGTGGTTGTTGACTAATGTGGAAGCTGGTGTGGGTCTCTAGGCCGCGGTTACTCCCATGAACTTTAGGCACCCTCGGTATGATGCAGTATGTGAGCCATTGCAGTTAGTACATCTTGTCTGGTCACGATGGTTGGAACAGGCAGAAACAAGATGAGGGCCTCCACAATGGATGGCTTCCTTACAGACAGTCATTGTATGTCCAAAGTGTTGGCATTTAAAACACTGGATTACTCCTGGTCCATGGTCCTTGACTGCTTTGACTTGATGGTGAGTGAAGAAGAGGGTGACTCCATTTTTGATGGTTTCCTCCACCTTCTTCATGTCAGTAATGGTCATCTTGACTAGTGGTGTGGGTAGTCCTCTCCGTGCTGACTGCTCCATCTTGACTACATTAATCTCCTGGTGGCAAGTTCTTTTTTGACTTCGTCCATGGTGATATCAAAGAAAATACTCTGTATCACCAGGGCTTGAGGATGGTAGCATAATTCCTAGGAGTAGACCACTTCAGGATGGCACTTCCTCTCAGTAGGTGCCACAAGTGCATGAAAACAATCGTGGGAAAGAAATGATGTATTTCCTTGGCAATCTCAGGTTGCTGAACTTCTGCTGGTATCCCGTCAACATTGAAGGATGGTGGCATCTTGGGTGGCAGCATTTGAGATAGTGGGTTGTACAGGAACTGGAGAGGCTGACTTGACTGAAACTGGTGAAGCTAACTTGGCTGGGCAGACTCAGCAATTGACTGGTTCTGGCTCAAAGGATGCGAGGTCATGGTCTGAACAGGTGAGTTCCTTGGCGTGTGGTCATCATTGTTACTGGCTGAGGGAAAATCAGAGGATTCCTATTTGCTGTGCAAACAGCAATTATGAGCTTCCAACAGCAGCTGGAATTGGTTCTCAGTCGTGGGTTGACATTTTACTGGTCTTCATCGAGTCAGTTTCAGGCATCAAGATCCTGAAAAAGAAAAGCTCATGCAGAATAAGGAATTTGTAAATAACTACTGTATCATACAATATATGATTAGCAATTAAAAGATAGAAAATAGTCCTGATAAAGACTTTTCATGGTATAACAGAATACTAGGTTTAATAACGTAAAGAGTAGACAAAAAACATGTCTGCGCTCTTCATAGTCTAGCACTCAAATAAAAAAAAAGACAACCACTCCCAATAACGACTTCCTTTTAAATACGACTTTTTCTGTGCACGGAACGATTTTACATTGATCTGACCTCCCACGAATGACTTCCTGACAGATGCGACATATGACTATGATTTTTGTGCAGAAGGTCGAGTAATGACCTCTCTGTAATGACTTTTCTTCATATCAATAATGTAATTTACAGAGACACATGAATACAGCGTATACAGTATGGAACAAAAAGTTCCCGTGACTGGAGATTGCTCCACAGCTTAGTATATGTATCTTGGTACCCCAGGGTGTTCAAGTCAAACTCCTTGGTACATACATGCAGGTATTTTGGTTTTAAAACTTTCAGATCCTGAAAGGTAACCAGGGGCAGTCAGAAACTGTTGTTTGTTTTCACCCCGCTCGTGGAATTAAGGTTTATTCTTTTAGTGAATGTAGTAGATTTTGAGCTAGCGGCCTAGACGTTAAGTAACTTGATTAGGATTTGCTAGTGGGGTGTGAAGATTATTAACTCGTGGTCTGTTGAGTGACAGAATCAACTAATCAGTATGGTAAGCATGGCTAATAAAATGCCTCAAAGCATCAGGGAAAGCTGTGAATGTCTCAAGCTAAGAACAGGAAGTTTCTGTTAAGAAGAAGAAGGCTCGAAGTATTGATATAGAAACGTGACCTAGACATTGATATAGACCAAAGTTGTGAGGAAAGGAACAAACGAAACGAAACATAGAAATTAGAGAATTTTTAGACAACTTGAAATTGTTTATATTACACTTTATTTAGCATTTGTATTTAGAGATGATTACCTTATTAGGTATTGGCTAGAGTCTAGCAATAATTAGTTCAGATATTTATTCTTATTTCTTTATTGGTTCTTTTAAATTCACGGAATGGTCCTTTAGAGCGGGGATCAAAGGATCAAATGTTGATTTAGGGTGGGGTTATTTTGTTCAGTTAAGATACGTGGCTTCAGATGCTTGGTTATTTTTTTAACTACAGCGTTTTGTACAGATATACTGTGGATTTTTTTAGTTACAATGGTAGTAAATACAAGTATGGGATGTTTTTTTAATTATGTTTGGTGAATCTGGTTTCCAATTTTCTTACAGTTTCTCTGATGTAGAATTTTGGACATTTATTGCACATTATTTTATAAATTGATACTAAAATCGTGTGCTGAAAACTGACTATTAAATGTTCAAAACAAACAAAGATAGACGATTTTTTATTAAATAAATTGTGTCAGTTTGTAATATTTTATAGGTATGTAATAAAAATGTGATACATGGATGTTTATGAAATAAATTTGATCGTTGAATAAATTATTTTACATAAAACACTAACAAAACAATTTTAAGTTATTTTCATTGAACTGTTATCCATCATAACTATTATTATACCAATTTGCTACATTATCTGACTACCTATACAGTAATTATGCTCAACGCCTGGGAATAGCAACTGGCACACCTTTAACTCAGTCATTCATTATCTATTTATTGATCCTTTGAATAACGACTTTCTGTGAGATACCACTTTTTTATAATGGCAGATAGGTTGTTTGTATCTAAGAGGTACTACTCTAGTTACCAAATATTCCAAATTCGAACTTTCTCTATTTAACAGACATCTGGAAAAGTGAGATGCGTGCCTTCACATCCACATCTAGAGTGCTTAAATCTTAAACGTTATTGAACCATCCAGGATCAACTTATCAACAATTGGGAAAGTTTAACTGCTTAATCAGTAAACATTTGAAATACTGAATTGCCTGCTCTTTAATTATTGAGAAAATTGTTCAAATACCTAGAAAGTTATTTTTTATACTTATTGAATCTTTGAAAGTGGAATTGTATGCTCACTAAATATTTTAAAAGCTAACTCGTGTATCAACAAAACATTTACAATGAGGCTTGCCTAGCCTTTTCTTAAACACCTATCCTCCTGTTGTTGTTATACAATTATAAAAAATTATGTTCTATGATTTCAGGTTCATATCTACGATCTTAGTGTGAATAAACATTTGCCAATCTGTCAACAAACTGTGGTACAGAAAAAGAAAACCAAGTTGACTAAAGTGGCATTTAATCCTTCCTATCCAATTTTGTGTGTTGGGGATGAAAGGTTTGTTTTATATTTCCTATTTCAGCCCAGTGTCAGCCAATTTATATTTCTGTGTTAATTTCTGAACTTGTTGCTCCATCCAACTAAGTATTATATATTTTTTTTCTTAAAAAACAGAATACACATATTAAGCAAAACAACAGGAAGATACTGTTTTTACAGATGTATAGGGATTACATTTCACATCAAATTACTGTTCTTTTTGTACACAATTTTGTCAAACAAAAATGTGTAAAGTATGCAGTGTGTTGATTTTTGTTTACTATTGCAATCAATTTCAAATTTCCAGTACAATACTTTGCCTCCATTCACATAATAGCTAGATTAGCTTTATTCGATTAGTTCCGCCTTCTATTTGTGCAATTTTTCCTCATCACTAGCCTTGATGCTCCCACCTATCCTCATGTGTTTGCAAGTAGCATGACTGTGCTGTAGCATACAAATGAGTATGCAACAAGCCTCCACCAATAGAAGTGTGACACACCCTCCTAGCACAGCTGACTCCCTCTATACTGTCGAGTGCAAACACCACTTCTCAATTGGGCACTATAATTTTTGGACATTTAGCTTGCCGATATATGGTACTTTATTTTTTTAGCTTAGTTTTTCTACTCCATTCTTTTTTCTTTTCTTGGATTCCTCAGTTATTTCCAAGAAAATTCAACTAAGAATTTTGTGAGCCACCCTTTTTTTTAACCATGAATTCTCGATTTACGATTACCATAATTTCTCCTGTTAACAATAGCATAGCTTCAAAACCTGCTGTTACTGTGGCCTCAGGGACAACCTTCTGCAGAAGAGATTTTGGCTCTTGTCCACCATGAATTTGAGTCTTTCATGTGGCCTGAGAGTTCTCTTGAACCTCAACTGGTTCTCCTTCTCCCAGAGGAGGCTGGTCAGGATAATGAGGATTTTGACAGCCTTTTCCCATTCCTTTCTTTTGTCATACAATCTCAATCTATACATTTCAATGTACCTCACCTTTGTCTACTTTCCTGGACATGGTGACACAGATTTGATACATTTTTGTCATTATCCCCATCGTCTTATGACACATCCCCTTCCATTGTGCAGGATACTTCTTCCTCTAGTTATTTAGTTTTCCCTCCTTCTCTTAATATCAGGGTCCATGCTACTCGTCTTGTGGACTAGTTGTATTCGGGGGTCAGCATAAAACATCCTTCTCATACCTCTGATTCTCACAATTTAGTATACCATTGCTATGCAGCTCCATTCCTAGATTCTCAACACATGGAACCAATAATTTATGTTTATGGTTTGGAACCCAATATGTCCATTTGTTTTTCCAGACCCAGTTCCTCCACCTTTGTTTGACCCTCCCCACCTTCCTTTATTACCTCTCCTCCGTGCACATCCTCTGCCCTTTCCCTCCACACCTCAATCCTTTGTTGTAAGAATTTTGGGGGACAAGATGCATTTTTAAATCATGTATGTTACCCCATGTATTTACCCCAATTTCTACATCAGCCTTTTTTAGGGGATCCCCTAAATTCATTGGAGTCTTGTGTAGAGGCTGGTCGACAGCACACTTCCCTTTTCACCCTCGTCATTTGTCTGTTGCAGCCTTCTCCCATCTTTATCTCTTGCCTGTGCCTTCATCACAGGTTTTGTGATGAGTCGATGTACTGCTCACGGCCACCCCTCACACCCTCAGCAGTTCCAGTGACTATCTGGTGAGTATAGGTTCCTTGGGGCTAGATTGTCCAGGTTTGCCCCTCTTTGGCGAACCTTAACCTAAGATCCTTGGGTATTTCAGGACTTGTCAAAAGGACTCTCACATCATTTTCTCGCTTCTCCTCTGTTGAACCCCTTTCCTTCTCCTCAGAATCCCCTTTTCAGCTCTTATCTTTCTGAGGTGGTTCAGGACCTTCTTTTCAAGGATGCTACTGAACCTGTTGGTCATCCTACATCAGGTTTCTATTCCTGGTTGTTCATTGTCCCCAAGAAGACCAGAGACTGGCATCTGGTCATAGACCTTTCCAGTTTGAACTGTTACATACACCTTTCCTGTCTCTTTGATGGACTTTTACTCCAGGTGTTTGGATTTGCTACAAGCTTTGTATGGCCAAACACAGTTTCTTCTAGAAAAAGCTGCTTGTTTGGTTGGCTTGTCAGGATGGAAAAGTTCGTTTTTATCTCGACCCCATAGCTCACCCACATCTGAGTTTTTCAACTCCCAACTCATTTGGGCTCAGCCTTCTCCCCTTTGTCTACTTCTATGGAGCTCTTAGTTCTGAAGGCTTAGTCCTCTCCTTCACTACCTGCTCATGAGGTTCTGTCTCTCGAGAACCCTTATTCCCCTGAGTCATACTCACATTAGAGCACTCCAGTGGAATTCACATAATCAAGGAGATCCCCTGGGTCGTTCTCACATTAGAGCACTCCAATGGAATTCACATGATCAAGGAGATCCCCTGGATTCCTCCATGCTCCTTCCTTTCTCTCTTCAAGTAGATTTTGCCTGGTGGCTCGACAGGGACACCATCTCAACTGGAGTTCCTTTTTGGCCTTTCTGACCAGATCTTCACTTTTTTATTGATGCTTCTCTGATGAGTTGGAGGGCATTTTTGTACTCTCAAGAGTTCTCTAGTCTTTGGTCGAGTCAGAATCCCACATCAATTTTCTGGAACTCCTAGCAGTTTGTTGTGCTTTGGATCATTTCCTTAGTTTTGCAGAGCAAGTCAGTCATAATCAATTTCAACAATCCGACTGCTGTCTTTTACATCAATTTGTTTTCAAAGAATAGATCTCATTTTATGCACCCATACTCAATGTCTTTGCCACTGTGCTTGTCATACCCCAGAGGATCTCAGTCTTGTTGCAGATCATTTATCTTTTCCCAACAGAGTGATCTTCTGATCCTCATGTCTTCTGGTGGCTGTGTTTGCAGTGGGATACTCCTCTGCTGGATGCATTTGTTTGTTTGTTATGGATTTTGCACAAAGCTACACGAGGGCTATCTGCACTAGCCATCCCTAATTTAGCAGTGTAAGACTAGAGGGAAGGCAGCTAGTCATCACCACCCACCACCATCTCCTGGGCTACTCTTTTACCAACGAATAGTGGGATTGACCATCACATCATAATGCCCCCATGGCTGAAAGGGCAAGCATGTTTGGTGTGACTGAGATTCGAACCCGCGACCCACAGATTGCAAGTCGAGCACTATAACCATCTGGCCAGGATGCATTTGCCACCCACCTCAAAACCACACTTCATATGTTCTGGTCCCCAGGCTTTGGCAGTCAATGCCTTCAGTCATGATTGGACCCACCTTTACTTTTATGCTTATCATCCTATCCATCTCCTTCTCAGGGTTTTGTCCATTATACAAACCATTTCGTATTTGGTTCTTCTGAATGCCCCACTCTGGCTTGCTCAACTATGGTTCCCATTATTTCTGCTGCTTCAGTTGTCGCCTCCTTTACCCATTCCTCTGTCCATCAAATCTGCCCTGTCAGACCTTTAAGGCCTGTAATGATCACCATTGAGATGGGATGCTCCACAAAACTGCTTTTTGGTTCATCTTCACTATATATTGCATATAAATGTGCCCATCCTACAGACTCATGGACAATCATGAGTAAAACAGGAAATGGATTCCAGCCTATATGACTGTTCGTTTTTGAATACTGGCCTGCTTTTTAAAGTAGGGTTTGCAGTCACCCATTGCACTTTCTCCTACTGTCACCCAGATGTCGGGCTCATGGGGGGCTGGTCTTAGTTGTGCACTAGGTTTGCATGCATGTGCTGGCCTGAATTTTTTAGAATAGAAGTCCTCTGCCCTTCTGATTCTTGTGTTTGAGGTGAAGATGGTTGGAACCCTCCTCCTAATGTGATCTGGATGCTCCATTCCAAGTACCATCAAGTCTTGAAATGGAGTTGACCCACCAGTTACTGTCTGACACATCCTAGCCACTCTACACCATTTGTGCATCCACTTTATTGGATGTGCTTCTTTCTACTTTTTACAACACAAGCGAAGAGAATACCTGGTACAGATGTGATATAGTCTCACACAGGTGTAACTCCATACATTGAGGTTTCACACTTCATGGGCTCACTTCAAACACTTTTCAAAGGGTGCTCATCAAGGTAAACAGTCCCTCCACCATTTCAATGTGGTATAGTAGCTATTATGTGACTGGAGGTAAGGTATCGTATGGAAAATTAACATTTTCCTACACTGAAAATATATTTCTGATAGATACTTGTGCTCACATTTCCCTCCTGACCTCCCCACTTCCATTGCATCTTTTTTTTTGCATAATCTTGAAGTGATGTTTGCACTCAACAGTATATATGAATTGAACTGTGCTAGGAGGGTGTGTCACACTCCAATTAGTGGAAGGTTGTCGTATACTCATTTGCATGCTACAGCACAGCCATACTACATGAAGGTACCTGGGAGCATCAAGCCCAGTGTCAAGCAAAAATTGCACAAATAGAAGACAGCATTAATCAAGAAAAGCTATTCTAGCTATTATGTGAGAAGATGTAAGTATCTATCTTAAATACATTTTCTATGTAGGAAAATGTTAACTTTAGAATCTTCATAAAGTCTTCTATAATACTAATATATTTTATAGTATTTTGACTATTCAGTTAACATCTTTGAAATGTTGTAAATTTTTTATTATGAATTGAATTTATTCAGGGAATTAATAGAATATATCTTCTTTTTTTGCAATCACATCTACATATTTTGTGTTATAGTGTACTCATCAAATATTGTTTTATGAAATGAAAACTACTTCTTTTATCACAGAGGACTGGTAATAAGCCTAAAGCTCTCTCCAAACCTTCGAAAGAACCTCAAGGTAAGTTTTTAATCTTAAAACATAAGTCTAAAATTGTGATTCTCAAGCTGTGATCAGCAGACCACAAGCAGTCTGTAAACATTCAAAAGGGAGTCTATGATGGTAAAGATTAACTTTCTATATTATAGTTAAAAAAAAGAAAATTATACTATGTCCTATTAATTCAAAATAATGTTTTATATAAGAATTTAATTAACTTGTATGTTTAATTATGTAAGTGCTGTGCTTCCATACACCGTAAGATTAGCTTTCATAGATAGACCTATCTGAGTATGGAGGTCTGTGAGATTATTTTTGTGAAGAAAAAAACAGTTGAGAACCAATGATATAAAAAGTATTTTATTATGTCACTTATTTTAATTAATTATGTTTATTCTTATACACATCTTTCTTTTAATAATTTTAGTTTTATGGGAATTATAGTTTATTTTTTACAAATGTGTATTGATTTTACTACCACATTTAAGTACACTAATGACAGGTGACCTAAGTTATTAAATGTAATAGAAATTATTTTATAAACAACTTACAGTTTGAGGTGTAGAGAATAAATTGACCCTTATTTGGTGTAACTAAATGTGCAAGAACTCCATCCATTGGTCAGAACACACATTAGAGAAGGAATATTGATTGTAATTCTGAATTTACAATGTGTCTCTACACAGTATGTGACAAGCTTTTTGTAAAATGTACACAAAAAATCAGATGAGTTACAAAGATATGTCTGTGAATTGACAATGTCAGTCTGATATTCATGTGAAGAATAAAAATACTTTTATTCATTGTATAGTTTTCATGTTGCATTTGCATAACCTCTCAGAATCTCAGAAATGTATATCCCATATTTTTCTATACCTTTTATATTATATTTGGTATTTATAAAGTTTAATTCCACACTAACAGAACAATAGAAAATTTAAAATGAAACTAGTTTGACATTTCACATCCTCTTCAAACCAATGTTGAACTAAAGAGAACATGTGAAATGTTGAAACTTAAATTTGGTATTGTGCTCTTAATGTGGATTTACACCTTAATGTATTTTTTCAAGTCAACCCTTATGATGTATTATTTGTAATTTTTAGGACAGAATTCCAAAACTGAAATGTTTGTGGTGTATAAATTTAGATGTCCTGGTTGTGTCAAGGAATACAAAGATTCTACCACATTCACAATAACCCTCATTTAAAATAACATGTAAAGAATAGACCAGTAGTTTATTCTAGTATTGAAAAGAATATAATCTGTGTTTGTAATCTGAGATTTGTAGTTATGGTTTTAGTATATTAAGTAGAGTTGATGATAAATTGACATTATGGATTCAAAAATGTCTCCTGATTGCTAAACTGAGGTCAGCTTTGAACCAATAAAAGTTAGCCTATCCTTTACTCATCAGATTCTTTGGTGCCTAAATTTGAGGCAGTAATAAAAGGTGGAGTTTAATATGTTGAAACTAGTTTAATTTTCTGTTTACAAATACTGGTCATATGAATGCTAATTAGTTCAGTCTGGTGTTGACTTATGTCTTTACTAAGTTAAATATGTTTCATCACTGGTAAAACTTATAAAGCATATACTTTTTCTTTAGGTATATAATTTCTCATTTTGTGTACTTATGATTTATCAAGAATATAGGAACCATCAAGCAATATTTATTAATTTTTTTCTAATTTTATCACAAATAACATTCAAACATCTTTTTATTCAGGACATCAAAAATGTGGATCCTGTAAAGTTTAAAGAAGTAGAAGTAGAAAAGATGGATAAGTTATTGGAACTTGCGTGTGATCCTGTAATTAGGGAGAATTGAAGAAATGGAGATAAATAGAATGAGTAAAATAATTCAAAGGAAGGAAGGAAGAAAATAAAGAACCAACTAATAGTTGTGATAGTTTGGTTATGTTTGATATAAATTAAAACATGTACCTAAGTATTTTATTGTGAAATAAGAAATTATTTACTATTAAATAAAGTATTCTTATTGTTTACATGTCAGTATTATGAACATAATATTCATTGTTTAATTTGAATTAAAAGGTTTTAGAAATATCAGAAAAATGTATGAGATATAATATGCTCACCATTTTAACAGAAACAGAACTTTAAAATGGCTACTTAAATAAAGATATTTGTTATATGTTATTAAAAACAGGTATTGTTTTTGTACATTTATTATTTTCTTCAATTAATAACAAGATGGTTCAAAAGAAAAATGTGACCATTGCTATTTAGACATAAATGATTTCACAGCAAATGCCTATTAAAACAAAATACACAACTGTTAACTGCTTCACATTTTTACTAGGTACCATTATACAAAATTATTAGATTTGAAAGTTTCTTATTCAGCCACACATGTGAATGAACTTTGAACCCTAATCTTTTTTGTTCACTATTTTGTGAGAAGTATTAAGATCTGAAATACAGTAATCAGTAGCTTGAAGTGCATTTTGCTTGTGATCTTTGCTGCTTGTATGAGTAGAAGAAAACCACATGCTAGATGCAACCAAAAGTCATTGTAAGTAACTAGGTAACCTCACCTACGTTCATGTATTTCAAAAGTAAATTACTACTTAAACGTTACAATTTATGATAAAATTTACATGACTAATGCATCATAGGCTAACCAAACAAATACTAATTAATGGATTTTGTTTTCTTCTGTTAAATTTTGCTCACTTTATTATTATCCTATAAAATGTTACTTTACTGTTAATAATTTCAAATTCGTACAAATCACAATCTGCACTATGAATTTCAGCATGGCGTTCAGTTATAAAATCCACCATTGATCTTTAAACACAAAGAATCACATGCTTTGTATTGAAGGCAAATGTTTCTTAGCAAATAATGTTTGTATGTGTGTAATATGTGAATACTGGTTTAAAGAATTCATATGATAAGTAAAAAATGAAAATGTTTATTAATCAACATTCTGTTTTAGGCTTTATTTAAGATGAAACATTTTACAGGAACTAGTATACTACAGTTATTGGGTAGTTCTAATAGTTAGAATTAATGGCTATTCTAAAGTTAACATTTTTGTTTGTTATATATGACTGTTTAAGTTAATGCAAGTGTTATGATTCAAATAGTTTAAGTATAGCATGAGTGTTAAGTTTAATTATTTTTAGAAGTGTTTGTTTGTTTGTAATTAAGCACAAAGCTACACAATGGGCTAACTGTGCTATGCCCACCACGGGTATCGAAACCCGGATTCTAGCGTCGTAAGTCCGCAGACATACCGCTGTGCCACTGGGGGTTTTAAAAGTGATAGTTTATTGCAGGTTTGTTTACATAACAATATGATATATATGTTGTGTAGTTCAGTTGTGAAACAGCACTAGTTGTATTATTGCATCATGTTACTAGAACCTTCTAAATTTTTGTGGTTTTGATTGAGTATTATTGTATCATAATATCTTATAGTATGTAGAACATTCTAGGCCTCGATCAGGCTGTAAATACAAGTACAAAGTATAGTTTGAGTTAGCTATATATAGATAGACAGTCAGATAGATCTAGACTGCATGATTGTGGGTTTAGCCATAAAGAGCGCATAGTGGCGATTTTTAGAGAATTTATCACAAATTGTATTGTAATAACAGAGTAGAGAAGAATAATTATTTAAAGCCCTGGATACAACTGTGATAACCAACAGTGTAATGAAAATTTGTGTATGAATTTTTCATGTTTTAATATATTATTCTAAAATAAATGGACTGTGTGTTGTTTGTTTATTCTTGAAATTTGTCGCTTATAAGTCACAGACTCATACTGTAAATAACCTGGCATGGCCATACATACACAAAAACCTGACATTAGTGAGCCAGCCAGGATTATACAGTGGTAAAAGTTGGTAGAAGAAGACGTGATAACAGCAAATGTAGGCATATATACACAAATAGGTGTAGTGACATTGAAAATATTGTAGAGATTACAATCATGCTATACAACAACAGTGAGAACTAGTCTAGTATCTGATGACCAGATGACATGCAAGGTACGTTTATGTGTACTGACTGATGAGACAGTGAGAAAGTTTCCTGTGGACACTCCATATTATATGGGAGACTCTGAGGCTATGTGTATGAAGGCACCCATCTATGACTTCGTGATTGGCAATATACCAGGAAATAGAAATGTGAAAGGACCAGACAGGAAAGAGACTGATGTGACACCTGCAGTCACTGCAACTGCTCAAACAAAGAAAAACAAGCAAGACATCAAGCCCCTGCAAGTTGCAAAAGGTGACATCCCAAATGTGGGTCTATGAAAATTAAAGGAAGCACAGAAAAAAGACCCTTCACTGAAGAAACTAAGGGACAATGCCCAGGAGAACATCAAGCATTAGGTCAAGGAGAAAGGGACATACAGAATAGAGGACTGGAAGTGAGTGCTGCACCTGATCTACCAAGGCAGTTCTAGTGTGGAAGTTAAATAAATTATAGTACCAACAGAATACCAGACTCAATTGATGAAGTTGGCTCATGAGTCAGTTGTGGGAAGACACCTAGGAGCAAAGAAGACAGCTTACAGCAACTTCCATTGGCCAGGGTTCATCAGAAATGTGACTAGATTCTGCAGGTCATGTGACAATTTCCAAAGGACAGTCCCTAGAGGGAAGATATCCAACGTGCTACTGGGTGAAATGCCTCGCATAAAAAAGCTTTTAAGCAGAGTAGCTGTGGACATTATCAGACCACTAGCACCTGTATCTGACAAGGGCAACTGATACATGCTGACAGTGTGACACCTTATCCAGAAGCCATATCATTGCCAAAGATTGAAACAGAGAGAGTAGCAGAAGCCCTTCTGGAAGTGTTCTGCACAGTAGGCTTTCCAAAAGAAGTCTTGAGTGAAAGAGGGACCCAGTTTTCCTCATAACTGATGCAAGAGATGTACAGACTTATCAGCATTAGCCAGCTCTTTACCACCTTACAACCCCAGATGTAATGGACTTTGTGAGAGAGTCAGTGGAGTCTTAAAGAAGAAGATGTGGCAGGAAAGACAACGTGACTGGAACAGAAACCTGCAAGTGGTATTATTTGCTTCCTGAGAAGTCTCACAAACGAGTACAAGATTTTCACCCTTTGAGTTACTGTATGGAAGAACAATATGAGGTCTGATGTGGATATGGAAAGAACTGTGAATAGGAGAAGAAGAGTCAGAAGTGAGGAACACATACCAGTATGTGTGAGACCTCAGAAACAGACTGGAGGAGACCTGACAACTCACTCGAGAAAGTTTGTATGCAGCTCAAAGCACTCAGAAGTACTTCCATGACAAAAAGACCAAAAATTGATGTTTCAAGGTCGGACAGAAGATCTTGATTCTGCTAACCACAGACACCAACAAACTCACCCTAATATGGAAAGGACCTTTTGAAGTGAAGGAAGTTGTCAACAGAATGGAATATGTGGTGAAATTGGATGAAAAGACTAAGATCTACCATGCCAATCTGTTGAAAAGATACTTCAAGAGACAAGAAGACCTAATAGGTACAGCTATTGAGGCACATGTGAACATTGCAGGCGTCACTCTCATAGAGGCAGAACCAGAAGATGGTGATTTTGTCCTAGAAGAAGACATAGTAGATCTAAGACTGCTGGGTGGAGATGAGACATACAAAGACGTCAACACCAGTGAAGAACTGACTGGCAAGTAGAAGAAAGAGCTACAAGATCAACTGTGCTAGTATGCAGATGTCTTCACATATAGACCAGGCAAGATAGACTTGTGCAAAACAAGATTGAGACCATGACTAGGGATCCAGTCAAGGTGAAGTCTTACCAAATTCCCTATGCAATGAGAGACCTGATAAAGCAAAAAGTCGAGGTAATGTTAGAAGCCAAAATCATTGAGCCTTCAAATTCAGCCTACTGTTCACCATTGGTAATCGTGAAGAAGTGGGATGACTCAAACTGCTTCTGCATAGATTTCTGGAAGTCCTAACTTCGTGATGAAATTAAACTTCAAACCTATGGGCAACCTAGAGGCTATTATGACAAAACTAGATGGGGCCCATGTTCTTTACCAAGATCGACTTCAGTAAAGGTTATTGGCAAATCGTGATGGAGACAGGATCTAAAGAGAAGACAGTCTTTGTTACACCAGATGGATGCTATCAGTTCAACAGAATGCTGTTTGAGATAGTCAACTTAGAAGCAACATTCAACCACATGATGCTGAAGATGTTGCACAAAACTACCAACATTGAGCATAATGTGTATGACATTTTGACCCACACAGCCAGATGGGAAGACCACTTGAAGAAACTTGGGGAGCTTTTCAAGTGAGTGAGGGCAGCAAGTCTGACCATCATACCATCTAAGTGCTTCATTAGTTATTCTGTGCTGGACTTTGTTGGACACAAGGTGGGCAACTGACATATGGCCAAGGAAGATGAGAAGTTAACCTCATACAAGATGCACAGCTCCAGTGACCAAGCAGCAACTGAGATCATTCCTCGAGTTAGTGGGATACTATGGGAAGTTCATCCCAAACGTTGTTAAAGTTGCTGTACCATTGACAGACCTGAACAAAAAAGGTCAACCCAACAAGGTGAAATGGTAACAACCACAGCAGATGGCATTCCAAAAGTCAATTAACATGTTAGGAAGTGCACCAATCCTTAGAATGCCAGATTTCAGTAAACCATTCATCGTTCAAGCTGATACATCAGGCATTGGAATTGGAGCAGTACTTTTGCAAGAACATGGTGATTGACTGTTTTTCGTAATGTATGTCAGTGAAAAGCTGTTGAATATTGAGAAGAACTACTCTGATTCAAAGAGAGTGTCTGGCTATCATATTTGCCATCTGAAAATTCCAGAACTACCTCTACAGGAATAAGTTCATTATTCAGATGGACCATCAGCCCCTTGCATACATACAGAGGTGCAAAATCGATAGTGAAAGGATCATGAGGTGGACATTTTATCTCCAGACATACATGTTCCACATATTTTAGTGCAGACTGTATGAGTAGACTTTGTGTATGAACTGAAAAGAGTCTTTGTATATATAGTATGAAAAAATATTGTAAATTGTTGGATATGCACGACTGTTTAAGTTAATGCAAGTGTTATTATTCAAATGGTTTAAGTGTAGAACGAGTATTAAATTTAGTTATTTTTAGAAGCAATAGTTTATCACAGGTTTATTTGGGTAACTGTGTACAGATTATAAAAGTAGTTCAATTGTGAATTGGTGCTTGTATTATTGCATCATGTTTCTAGAACCTTCCTAGTTTTTTCTTTGTTTTTATTGAGTATTATTGCATCGTAATATCTCATAGTGTTTAGTACATTCTAGGCCTCAGTCAGGCTATAAATACACGTGCAAAATATAGTTTGAGTTAGTTATATAGATACACTTAGATAGTTAGATCTAGATTGCGTGATTATGAGTTTCACCATAAAGATTTTGAAGCGGCGATTTCTAAAGAGAAATATTATAGATTATATTGTAATAATAGAGTAGAGAAGAAGAATTTTTCTTGACAATTGTGTTCTGAAGTAATTAAACCAACCTGTGTCGATTTTGACAAAAAGAGACAATTATTTAAAGCTATAGAGACAAGTATGGTAACCAACAGTGTGAAATTATCACCAATTATATTGTAATAACAAAGCAGATAAGAATAATTTGCCTTGCCAATTGTGTCTTAAAGTAACTGAACCACCCTGTGTGGACTTTGATGAAAACAGACAATTATTTACAACTCTGGATAACTGTGTAACAAACATTTTTATATACATTTGACTTATTTTAATATATTTCAAAACATCCAGTTAACATGGATCTTATTAACTACATGCAGAACATCTACATGAAAACATACAAAATTTCATAAATATACCTTATTGAAGGATGAAATTATCAGTTATTTCAACTGCAACATGATTTTTCCACCAGTTATGTTCTTCACTGTGTAATGGTAGTTAAAAAACATAATGTAAAATTTGTTAATAGCTAATGCCAGGGCACCAACCAATCAGTTGCATCAGATAAACATCGCACTATCTATCAACTTCTAGACCTAAGACCACTTGGTGGAAATGAGACGTAAAAAGATGTCAACATCAGTGAAGAACTGACTGCCAAGCAGATGAAAGAGCTACAAGATCTATTGTGCCAGTACACAGATGTTTTCACAGAGAGACCAGAC